GGAGAATTGAGAAGAAAAAGGCATGAAGCAATCTTCATGGGGTTGCACAATCTTTATACAGTTATCTCTCTGTCTTATTGTCTATGTGTCTCTGCATTTGGGTCACCCATTCTTCTTCTCTATTAAGGATGGTGACGACAATGCCGGAGTTTTAGATCTTCATTTCATCTCCGTCGCCGGAGGTTTCAGACAGCTTCACCGGCAAACTCAGCTTCTCCGATTGGTCTGTTTACCATCTTTTAAGTTGGTTTCAGGATAAAAGTTGGGTTCTTTGGAGTTTTATCATCCCATGATCGGAAAAATTTGAGTTTTATTGATCATACTCTTTGGTTCCATGAAAAAGACAATAAAAGTTGATTTTTTTATACAAGTATTGCTTGTTCACAATTCGAAATTGAAGGTTGATTCATGGATAGATAAGCGATTATTACTGTACTTATTGTTTTTGTTACTGTTTGATCGATGAAGATGGAGAGAGTTGCAGAAACTCATAAGGCAAAATTTGTGGTGAGCACAAGTGAATATGGAGAAGAAGATCCACTTCTGCAAAATGTGAGCTCTCAAGCTTAATCTTTGTTTTTTGGTTAATTTATGCCTCCTTGAACTATAGTGGATCAACAAAAAACGTTCTGATCTCTTTCGTTCAGACAGTTAGTATGAGTAATGAGCCTACTGATCTTTTTTTTGCAGGCTACTCGAAGGTTTTCTTCACTGAAACTTCCATGGTAATTTGATCTTATGGAACAGACGACTCTTTTAGCTAACTTACTTCAACAAGTTGACTGATCAATGTGATGCATTTTAGGTATACTACGAAGAAAGGATCTGGAAATTTCAGAGAGCACATCAAATTGCCTTTTGGTGGATCCTTGGATGTTATTTTCGTAGACACTAGCTCGATACAGCAGGTAGAATCAGTTTGTTTATGTGAATTTGATGGATATATTGTTAGGCTTTTCATTGTTTCCTTTGTCTGACTGATTGAAACTGAAGGAAGTGTTCGGTGGAGCACTGAATGGCTCGATGATCAGTCAATTGAAAGAGCTGACAACGATTCTAAAAGCAGCAGATGGAGACTGGTAAGTCAGCTGTTAAGCTCATGTACTCTTTTGATCTCTCAAGAACTTGTAGAAATACCGCAACAAGTTCTGTCATTCATTATTTAGTGACCCAATTTGCTCTATGCTCTCCAAAACCAGTCCATATATATCACTCCCATTGATTAAACAATCTATATAGTCGTTCTTGAGACAGGCGTATTGTGGTTGGATCAGACCCGTTACTCGCCTCTACTCTGAGTAAGGAATCAGAGGAAGCCAAGGGAGTTGCAAGCTCATTTCATCAAATCATGACCAAATATGGAGTGGTAAGACATCGAATATCCCATTGCATTCGTGATAAATTTTATCGCTGCATTAGTACCATGGGATGTTGTATATGAATAATCTGAGAGGAGAAACTTTGATGATACAAGAACTTATATATAAGCGAAAAAGGCTGCACCAGCGGAGTTAGCGACAGGAGCTTCACTTGCATAACACTTCCTTATCGATCGCAGGACCAAGGTCCAACGAATGATGTTAAGAGGTAACAATGACATTATAATCATAAACTATGAAATCTCAAATGTCTGACAAAAATGCAATTTTATTGTTTTACCTCAGAGAAATGGAAGATGGGTTTCTTCTTCACAGAGTTAGCTTCTCAGAGTTTGTAAGTAGTTTCTTCTACAAAATCCTTTCTTTTGTTAATCAAGAGAAGAAGACAAAAGCATAACAAAAGTGTTCTTTCTTGTTCACTAACAGGTTACTTATACTATCAACTCATCAGGACAAGTCATGGACACAAGATTAGTTAAGCAGAAGGGCAAAGAGTCCATCTAAGACTCCATTTTGTTTATGGTTTTTAGTTACTCCATTGTTGTAATATGTGTTGTGTAAAATTGTAAATCACTAAAAATTATCATTCTTTAATGACCAAAATACCCTTTACCCAGTCCGAGTAGGTCAATCGTTGGAGGGTGAAACTGGAAATTGTAATCTTGCTGCAAGGGTACTATAAATTCCCCCAAAAAGGAGTGACCTTTAGGTTTCTACTGAATCTCATTAGGTTAAGTATGAGGCTCTGCTCCCGGAGGATTCCGATCCGGCGGCTGTAATTAGCCTCGCCGTCGTTTTCTTCCGGTGGAAGCGGAAGCCGATGATTTAAATATTCTTTCATCAAGAACCACTTTTTGTAGTGGTGATGAATCATTCAATCCACCTCCACAACCACAA